GGGATCCCAGACTGATGTAAAGAACCAATGCAAATGATGCAGGCTGAGTTTCATTGATACACACTCCTTAAAAACAAGGTGAACACTGTACTTTCTATTTCATTTGGCTCTCGAATGAAAGCAATCATGGTTCTATTATGATCATCTCCCCAGATTTTGCTCTTCTTGTGCCAGGGCCAGGTAGTAACAGACAAAGCACATGATGAGACCATCAAAAACACTACTTCTTGAGCTTCATGTGCTCTGTCTGACCATAAGCACACTGCTGGGAGCTTCTCAAGCACTGTCTCTGTACAATTATTTGCAAGACATTTCTTTCTCACCTCATCCACAATTAACAGCTGCTTATAAACAATCTATCAGGCATTGTGCAACTGGTATGCACACAGATGCTTCCTCCTACATGGAGGAAGGAGGGCCTGTCTCATCCAAAACAGTTTGAATCAGCCACTGCAGCCCCACTGCAGTAGATAGCTTGCCCAGGAGGACACCCATACTACAAACTCAGCAGCCCTTCAACACTTTAGCTTTAGCAATAGCTCCCCACCAAAGACCAGATGTAACAGACCTCCACTTCCCTGTCATCACCTAGACATGATCCCCTGCTATTGTTCTCTTCCTTCCATCCAAGTCTTTCAGCAACAATTTGAGGTCTTTTCTGTTTCAACAGTCACCCCAAATTTAACAGTGCTCAATGCTGTGCATCCACTTGCTTGCATAAAAGCTGTATTCTAGTGATCTTTCCAAACTGCAGCCTTTAACTGCTACAGCACACCTGAATCTGTGTCTTATTTAGATCTGTAGGACTGCAAACAGGACTCACAACAGCAACTTAGCCCAACAAGTATTTCATGCCATCAAAACCTGAACTTTGATCACAGCAAGACAGCTGCAAAATAACTGGGTTTGGATATGACTTTAAGGAGTTCCTTGTTGGTCTACTGATGGCAAGACTGCCTGTACCTACCCCATAGGACGCTGCGTTGTGTAGGGGGATTAATCCTCCTTTGTCCTGGGCATTAACATCAGCACCATGCTCAAGAAGGTATTCAGCTACTTCCAAATTGTTGTAACCAGCTGTAGAAAAGGCACAGGAAAAGAAATCGGGTATTAGGAGAGCTAAATTAAAGAAACATTATTAGACAGAACAGCTAAAGCAATTTTTCGACTGCAAAAGCTCCTCTTTTCCTAGTAACTGTATTACCTCCTGAAATACAGCTGCCATAGTTAAAAACTCTCTGTACAGGACAATCCTCTGTGAAACTCCTATTATACCAGTCCTGGTTTTGGTGATTAACTTCTGTAGCCCTATCATAAATATACAAGCCTTCAAAACCTGGTGAGTCACCCACCTGCAAGATGTAGCGGTGTTGAATTTCTTCCCTGGGTGTCTCTGCAATTGATGTTTTCTTGAGTACATAGTTTCTGCACTCGTGCCAGGCACCCCTTCTTGGCAGCATCTAGCAAGGCAGCATCTCCTCGCAGTAAGTCCTGGATATCTGTGTCTCCTTCTTTCACCAAATCTAGAGGAGTGTTCCCATCTCGATTCTTTTTTGTTGGATCAGCTCCATGCTGCAAAGAGCAAAGGAGAATGCTACTGTCGCAACCATGAGCAGAGCAGCGCACATAAGTGTGTCACTATTTTGTGGCACAAGATAGGAGGCGGGGGATTTTGCCAACCTGCCATCATGAAGTAACAACTGTATAGATTAATAGGCACATGAGAATAAATCCATAAGGCTGAGGCCTAAAGCACTAGTCTGCAACACAGCTGTGTGAATCTCAACTTCACAGCTAAGAATGGCAGCCCTCTGCGAGTGCTGCCACTGCCCTACTTGCAACTGAAGTAAGTTCAGGAGCATATCCTGCATATAGCTATACCCTCCTGTCACAGCAGATGCTGAAGAAAAGCTAACTGCAAACACCTTGCTCGCCAGTCCTTCCCTTCTCCTGCAAACTGGCTGGCAGAGGTTTCACTAGCTTTCACTCAGCACACCTTTCTGAGCTAGTGAAGCCAGACCCCGAGTTTCACTAAATGCCACCCTACTACTGAAAGGCACTTGTTTCAGAAGGGAACCAGAAAAATACTCATTTCTATCCTTTCCAATAGATAAAAGCACCATCTTAAGCAGTTTACAGGTCCTGGAAAGCAGTGAAGAAAACAGTTTGGTGGGACAGCAGAGAAAGTGGATTTGGATGGCTGCTGGAGTATATCTGTGGTGGTAAAACATGCAAATCAGCCAGTGATGAGAGCACAGTACTGGAGCACGGGACGAGGAGGGGAACATACATCTGCATACAGCATATGGCATGAGTCATGTCCACATACAATTTTGTGAGAGGACAGTTCCTTCCCTGTTCATTCTCAGCAGCAGCGGGAAAAAATATAGATAGATAGATAAGGCAGAGGCAGCTGCTGGCACTATAGTTCTCTGGCTGTCCCCTTCAGAATAATCAAACACTGTGGTCTAACCTCTGCCAGCAAGTCTACCCTGCCATTTCTCACTGGGGATGCTGGCAAAGCTGTGTTAGTGCAAGCCACAGGGAATGAGCTGGGGGTGGGGAGAGCAGAAGGAATTAACTGCCTTGTATTTGGAAGCGTAAAGTAGTAAGTAGCAAGGGACAGAAAGGGACAGAGTATTGACGACACAGAACCGGTTCCACAGCTGTGGAGCTTTTGGGAAGAGAGCATTCTTTGCACAAAGCCTTTTAAACTGCAATGACTTCTCTGAGATATGACCTTAGATCCCTTAATTTAAAACTCTCAAAAATTGGAACTATTCAAATACTCTCCAGAATAAATATCTAAATGAAGAGGCAGTGTCTTCTGAGACCACTTCAAAGGCATAGAAGCAAATGAAGATGGTAATTTTAAAGAAAGGTGATGAAAAAAGAAAGTCTCTCCAAAATGCTTGTGCATTTTTGTTTCCTTCTTCAAGCAGAACAGGACAGAAAGAACACAAGTCAGGAGGAGTCAAGTTCAACATTCGTGGCTCAGCAGAACTGACAGCACTGCCAGCTGGCATAAGAGACACAGCAGGAGAAGCCCTGAGCAAACTGCAGCATGAGCACATCTCCACAGAGCCTTTACAAAACTGTGTCACCTTAAGGGCATATTTAACTCTTGTGCAAGAGTGATTTCAAAAAGAAAGACTTCAGCTCTTTTCTACTTCCTGTCGTACATCCATTGAGGATCCTTTGAACACAAAAAAAGGCTACATTCCCAGTGGAATGATCAGAAAACTCTAGAGACCTCTGATGCCTATAAAGTAACGCTGTGCTTGAGAGATTATGAGTGCTCCTATTGCTTGAGCTAACATCTGTATTCAGGTGTTACTACCAGGGTCATCATTGTACCTACTCCACAGACATTTCTGAATATCTTCCGGTTTCTACTGCAGATGTGTTTCAAACTGATGTGCTACCCGCTCTGAATGCTTTTTTGGTAATCAGGTTAAATAACTAATGAGATAGGAGAGAAATAGCAGGGCTTTGCAGCAGCAAATGAAAAGAGAAGCGGATGGGGAAGAGCCTTTTAAGACTATCCATATTCTGACTTACTCCTATTTTAAATAGGAGTGCTTCCTCTGTGCTTCAGAAGGACATGAAGTAGCAAGGCTGAAACAGGAAACAGGATTGCCAAGAAATTCTACTCTAGCACCCTCTTCTACCCTCCCACGGCAGGATGTGACCTTATGTTAAGAAGTCTCTCAAACTCATGTTTCTCACTGGAAACATGTTGGCATTACCTCATGCTTTTTATATGTTCTTCCACTAATTATAATGAATATTTATGCCACAGTATATTAATATGCATTTTCTCCAGGAGCTTGATAAATTATACATTAACATAACAGTTTTAGATTTCTCACATGCCACACACCGTTTAGGACCCACCTTCAGTTATTGCTCTGTTAACACATTCTTGCATAAGTATTTACAAAGGTTTACTTAACTGCAGTAACTGTTTCGGAAAGGGATAAATAGGATAAGGTGGGGTTTTTGTATTTTTCCACAAATTCAGCTTTTTCCAGTTTGAGAGTCTTTTCCTACTTGGAAAAGTAGGACAAATAGTATTAACTGACCATGTTTGAAAGTTAATACACATACTGGGAAAAGTAACTGTAATGATGATTCTTTGTATGTGAACTGACATTACACAAGAAACCATCTGACAATTGTAAGATGAAAATAGATTCAAAGAGACCATAAAGAACTCACTGAATGCAGTTAACTTTGCATTAATTAATCTTCAGCAAAAATAAACATATACGCATTTAAAGGCACATTTGAGAACTCCAGATCACATACTTTTAAAAGCAGCTTGCAGATTTCGTATTTTCCTTTTGCTGCTGCTTCATGTAGAGGAGTGAATTTCCACAGGTCTGCCACGTTGACAGAAGCACCGTGCCTCACTAAGAGTTCAGCCACTTCGTAGTGTCCATAAGAACAGGCATTGTGCAGGGGTACTAAACCACTAATCAAAGAGAAAGTATTAATAGCTACAGAAAATAAAATCCCAATATGCAATCATACAAAGTTCCAGTAGATAAAACTCCCACTTCCAGCAGACTGGTGTCTTTCAGTCTTTCCAATTTCATGGCTTTATTTCCCTGCTATTAGAACAGCAATTAAAACTTCATTACCCTCCTTCAGTTCCCATCCACGAGACTTTTAAATACTTAGCAAGCACCAATGCTAGTACTTCCACAAGCAAGTGACTTCAATGCTGTTAACAACAGCCAAAAACTAAATTGTAAGAATCACTGATGTTCTGACTTTGGATATTTGAGTGTAAATTTCAGAAGAGGTATAACACTATACAATGGATTTGAAGTATAGTTATTAGTAAGCACTGCACACCTGATAGATACAGAAAGATACCCAAACATTTCTTTCAGGGAGAGCCTGCAAAGTCAGTACTGGAAATGTTTTAGCATTGGAAATGAGTTATCCCCCAACCCTGAACCAATATATTGGAGTGAAAGACCAAACATAATCACACTATTCTGCATGATTGCTTTGCAAATAATGCAAAAAACCTGTAAATGATTCATATCATTTAACTGAATATTAACTGAATAAATAACTAACAATAATAAAAGCTAACTAACAGAATTAGGAAAATGACCAGAGCTAACCCTGGTATTTTACCTCATGCAATTCAAAACTAATTTTAGATCATTTGAAATAACTTAAAGGCTGCTTTTAAGCACAACAAAGTCTCCAAAATGGGCAAAAGGGGAAAGAGAAGGATCATGTATTACAGTGCCAGGTATGTACTTGACAATGGCTTTGCCAGAAAGCCAAGTATGTCTTAATGGTCTATAAAGCTCCCTACAGTGAATGTCAGGAACAATGCAGAACAACAAGAAGGAGAAGAGAAAAATTTTCAAGAGAAAAAACATGATAGTTACTGAAATCCGAAGCAAAATGAATAGAGGAGGGTAGAAGTCTCACACTAATAGAAAACAGCGGAGCATATCATAGAATGAAATGTACCCTTTATCTTTGGCATGCACATCTGCCCCATGGTGCAACAGGTATTCCACCACTGATACGCGGTTATATCCTGCAGCAAAGTGCAGTGGCGTTGAATGACGGCCTTCCAAATCTCTACAATTCACATTCTGAGGGCTGCAAAGTTGCTGCAAAGACAAAAGAAGAAGCCAAAATCTAGTACAGAAAAAACAAATAAAAAACCCCACAAAAAACCAAACAAAAACCAGGCAAACAAACAAACAAAAAAGAAAAATCCAAACTACCTTCCCCCAAATTTAGCTGCTCTATATTTATGGCTGAAAGTACTTCTATAACAAACAAGACTTAAATGATGGAAGCAGTACGAAGACATTCCTAGCGTATTAGAAAGGGCAAATCTCTAAATCATCAAGCACCAGGTTCAAGCTCACGTAACTTTTTCCAGATATGTTACCAATTCCAGCTTATGCTGTCTTCAGAAATCTAGAAATATTGAGCTTGGCAATCAAAGGAGCTGCTGGTGCACAAACCTGCTGCTGTTTGAATATTGATATGTATCATGTTGAAGTTCAAGGTGAGAATGCGTGCAGAGTGGTCTATCCGCAGGCTATTTCACCCGCAGACCAAGTATGAAAGACAAGATCAAACCTTCCTGTGATGCTGGGATTCCATGGCCTGACCCTTCACCTTCAGATTAAGGATGGCTTAAAATGTGAAGTCTGCTACCTGTTAACACTTTTGTTTGCTTGCCTTCTGATTGAATCTTGCACCTGAGGCTTGTTTCTACTAAACTGTGATTCTGAGGATCACAGGGTCCGCTTCAAAGAATTACGGCTGTATCTGCAACATTGCATCTGAGTCCATGGAAGACATGACTGGGGAATGAACAACGAAAAACTCAAGAGAAACACCTCAGCAAACCTTAATGCACTACTTTTTAGAAAAAAAAAAAAAAAAAAAGAAAGAAGAGGTTTGCCTTCCCATTTTTTATGCTTTACCATCCACTGGGCATTACTTTCACAACTCTTGTAGCAGAGGCTTCCACAAGCCTTGCACAGCAATACAAAGCGGAAAATTAACATGAATTGCTCAAACCTACCTTCACAGTTTCCAAGTCTCCAGCTTTGGATGCTTCTAACAACCGATAATCCACATCAGATGTGCGCACAGGTGTACTTTCTACATAGGGAAAAAGATGTTTTAGGATTACTTAGGATCATTAAGTTATATTAACTTGTGCTCAACATATTTTCCAAATTGGGGAGGGGGGAGGGGGGGAAGAAGTCTGTTGTCATTTGTAAAAATGCAGCTGGAGTTGTGATGTTCAAGTTCTTGTTGCTTAAACAGCTGAATAAGGAGACTTAGTTTCAGAGTAAACCAGTCAGATTTGGACTCCAGAGCTGACATTATTCTGCCAAATGGAATTTCAATGCTTTGCTAATCATATGTATGGTAAAAATTACCATTTCTGCATTTAAGAAATCTACACGCTCACTGGGACATACTCAAAGTTTTGCCAAAGTTCAAAAGCACCTTTCAACAATTTCAGCAAACTGCATGAGGTGCCAGTGCACAACCAGGGTTAAACATGCTCAATTCAACAGCTGAATTACAGCCTTTGCACTCTGCACTTCTGCTATGTCTAGTACTACAAAGCAGTGACAAGGGGATGGGATTTCTATGGGATTGCTCTGGCCACATGGTGACTGCCTGCTTTATGATGCTCCAGTTGTGTACGGCACTTCATAGCAACAATGAGATCTGTCCCTTGTTATAAACTTGGGGTGGTTAAAAATAGAATCAGAAGAATGACATAGTGATTGAAAGGAGACCTTTAGAGAGATACCTTTTTTCCTCTTTAAATGACTGTAAGACAATGACAGGTTTTGGCCTCAAAACTCTTTTTTACCCTACTTCTCATTAGAAACATGGCTGTGAGAAAGCAAGCATGCACTGAGGGAAGAGGAAGAAGTGGCTGGAAATGAGTAGTGGATTAGCTGTCCCTAGAGCTCTTCAGTCTTGCTCAAAAAGGAGCTGAAAAGACAATCTCGATCACTTAATTCTTAATAGAAACTGTTTTCTATTGTAGAAGTCACTCCTCTCAAGCTCAAGGATTTGTGAAATAGAAGTTTTGGCAGCATGTTGCCTGATCAGCGACAGAAATGACTACCTAGCGCAAAACAAATGGGGCAAGATGAACTGGGGGTTGCAATCCTCTGTAAGAAAGTCAGTGTTGTAACAGGCTAAACTCATTCTAGATGGGCATGCAACTCCGTCAAAAATACTGAAAAGACTTCTTTAAACATAGAGAACTGGTACTATGTCCTGAGAGGAAACTGCAGAGACGACGTCAGAAGGTACTTCTTACAGACTAACACAGTCTCTGCAGAATCCAGTCAATTCCTGACTTTGCAGTGTTATCTGTGACTATATCACAGGAGTGGAAAATGGGTAGAAAGAGATATTTGTTTTCTTAACTAGCCATCCTTACAGAAGGACATCAACTTATGAATTCACTTTGAGGTGGCATTTCCTATTGCAGCCCTATTTTCTCTTCTTGATCAGTGTTTTGTGGCCTTTTTCTGTCTCCTTGCTTCCATACTCACTGCAGGAAGAAGAGGAGGAGGAAGTGAGAAGCAACTCCTACAAGCTCAACTGTTAGGTGAAGAAAGCTCTCTGTTGAAGGAAAGGCTGAGAAAGCTCAGGGAAGAGGGATAGTGGCACTTTTAATACAGCCAAAGCTGCCAGCTCCTTTCCTCAAGTCTACCTCAATCCTCTGGAGCAGTTCCACTAGCAAGCAGTTGGACTCGATGATCTTAAAGGTCTTTTCCAACCTAAATGATGCCATGATTCTAAGTGATTCAAACACATGCTGCAAGAGAAGGATGGCAGCAGGGGTTTGACACGAGTGTTAGTGACTGTGGGCAGAGCACAGCATGCATCAAACTCCTGTTGCTGGAGTGGGTTAAGATTTCAGCTCACACCTTCTTCATCTTAAGTTATTTGCCTTCCCTCGCTCACCCCAAGAGCACCGCCACCTCAGCGTCCTGAGGCAGGGAAAGAATAGATGAGGCTAAGTCCTATACTGGATCCAAAGCTCTGCTCCTTAGCAATTGTTTATCTCTTCTCTGGACTCCTGTCCTTGTCCTCACAAGACAGCCAAGACCCTGACTTTGGTCAGGGTAAAAAAGGAAATCAATCAGAAACCACAAGAAAGAGAAATTTCAATTCCACTATATTAGAACTTGAGTACCAAAAGGCTGCACTGAGCAAAGAAACAAAACAAATCTTACTCTTCAAGAAAAGCAAAACTAGTAGCATTTTCTAACAAGCATTTGAAAAAATTAACAAGCTCACTTGATGAGCTTTCTTACATTACATGACCAGTTGCAACCAAAATCACAAGCAGCCAGAGTAAAGTTGTATCCACTGGCCACTATGCCATCAGAAAGCTGTTTTCATGGTTGTTATCTCACAGTTGGGAAGTAGCTCAGCAATCAAGTGTGAGGAAAAAAATCTAATACTATACCGAAAATATTTTAAGCTGTGAACTTGTGAGTTAGGTAACAATCTCTATCAAAATAACTCCAACATTTGAAAAAAATATTTCTTTAACCCTATCTTGCAAAAATGAACACAGTAATGTTTTGTAAATAATTTCAGCATTCATTTACTAGCTTTGAAATACCGAGAATATAAAGTGTCAACATCCCTACACTACATGCATTTTTTCAGCTTTTGAATCTTCCAGTCTTGAACACCTTCATGGATGTAAGAGAAAGGCTGCTACCTCTTCAATGAAAAGCAGTACAGTATGACATCTGAAATTAGTTTTCCTAGAAAAGGTAAGTCAGTGAAAATGAATTTTTAATTCAAAATCAAATGAGTGTTTTCAGAATACTTGTAAGTTTACTATTTTTTAAAATCAGACTCCTATTCTCTTTAACAGCAGGGGATATGTTTACTTTCTTCTGATTCATAGCTAAACATTCTTCTCTCTCAATACACATACAGTCACGTGCATACTTTAAACAGGTAATGCTACCCGTGTAACCAGTTATGTCTCAGGAGTGGGTACACTTCAAAACAGTCCTTCCTTGCACTGCTGTAAAATGCCTCTTGTTTTGCCTGTTTTAAGGCAACATTGTTGAGACCACTGAAGGAAATGAAGTTTCTAGCTACCGTGGGTCTTCTCATCTATCTGGATATCTGCCTTTCTTTGACTACAAGCGTATCCCACTGTAAAGTGGGATACTACTTGCTCTGTAGGAGCTACTGATGCAATTATTCTTCTCCCTACTCGCAAAAATTCAAGAGTGACGTGGGTAAGAGGATGCAAACCCTCAAGCACTTACATGAAAAATAGTGCACCCTCTTCAAACATCTATTTACCTTTTTAATGCAAGATATAAACACATTGTTATCTAAACAGATTTTATTGTGAAAGTACTCTGGATACTTTCCTCTGCTGGACAAACGAGATATGAAGTGAAAGTTCAAATGGTTTAGCAACTATCAGTACTTTTCTGCCAGTAACACTCTGCTTGTGACTGCTAAAGTCTGGAGTACCTAACAGTGTGGCTGACGAGAGGAAAAAGGTTTCTCACACGCTCAGCAATATTCCAGTTGCCTTGGAACTTGTTACCAAAAAACACCCAAAACTCCCCACATTTGCTTTCCTACAATCTCCCTGTACAGCGGCATACTCTAAATCCACAAGATGTTTATTTTCTTCCCGATTTGCACAAAATCACTGAATTGAGCAGGGCTTTTTTTGTTTTGTTGTGGTTTTCTTCTGAAAAGTATTGCATGGTACATACTGTAGATGTGTGCACACGATGGCAGAAGGGAGGATGAGAAAACTACTGCAAATCTCCTGCATTGGAAAAAGAAATAAGACCCACAGCTGTAAAGGAAAGGGAGAAGCTGAAGTTCAAATACACAAGCCTTTATTTTTACGCACCACTTAGAATCTGTTGCACTGCTTCATTTCCCATCTGTGCTGCTGTGAAGCCTTGTAAAGAGATGATGGAGGGATCGGAGCCGTAATTCAGCAAGAGGCGGCAGGTTTGCAAGTGACCTGCTAACGCAGCCCTGTGCAACGCTGTTTGACCAAGTGTGTCCAGTGCATTCATCTGAAAAATCAGCAGCAATATAAAACACTGTTATAATTAACAGCCTGCACCTGTCCCTGCCCTTAATAATAAGAGCAATAACAAGAATTTTCCCACATACAAATTTATCTATCAATCCCTCTGCATTGCAACTAAACAAAACCAAATGACAAGATAGGTAAACACTCCAACGTAAGGATAATTTACCGCAGATGCTTTCCTGTCTTTTAACAATGCAGGTTATTTGTTTGCATGGCTAACAGACAACACAGGATCCCCAAAACCATACTTAAAATAGTGATCAAGCTTTTGACAAATTCAGTGAAGATGAACCTTGTGCAAGAAAAGCAAAACTCTCACAGAAGAGGAGAAAGAGGTAAATAATTAACCAAACAATTCAAAGATCTTCCAGCTTTAAGGAAATTACCATCTGTCATCCTCAGAAGGGGAATTAACATTACTCACTACCAAGAATTAAAGCAAAACAAAAATGTCAGATTAGGAATTCTATGAAGGAGGGGGCGGGGGAAGAGGTTGGATACAAACAGTCCATTTCCTCCTTACTTTTTGTACTTTTACAGAAATGTTAAGTATAACTGGATATAATTCTACCCAATACAGGACTAAATAAACAGGCGAAATGGAGTATTGCTTTCAAAGAGTATGATATAATGGAAACCTGTCTGTCAAGATCTAAGAGTATCTAAATAACTGGAAGCATCTCCATGGGTTCACTATCAGAGAAAGGAAGAGAGTAATAGAGAGCCTTAAAAAGCAGAAAAAAACCCTCATGAAAATAACCTTTCAAGAAACTTTGTACTTAGCAGCGATTCATGACAAATTTAAATGCAAATATCCAACAGCTTTTTTACCACTTTATGAAACACAGAACTACTCTATATTCTCTGCAACTCACAACCTGTTAACTGTTTCCAAGCCTACGGACTGCAGGCTGTGAACCGCATGCATAATAGACTCTGTTACTGTACAAAACCACCTTTTTACCTTCTCAAAGTCTTTGTGGTGGCAGTGAACAAAGGTTTTGCTTGTTATTTCTCACCTAAAATGCAGTCTGCAAATCCTACTACCTTTCCATGAAAACTAGTAAAAAAACATTTTGGGTAAGATGCATATTCTGTAACTAAATGAAATTTAATTAGGGGGGTAACTATGTAGAAAATATCTACTACCAGATAGGGTAAAAAAATAAAGTAAAATACCTGCAATACAACAATATCAAGCCACAGGAAAGAACAAAGAACTACCACATAAATAAAGCGGAGTGTGATTCAATATTGTCTGAAATTCTGCTAGATTCCTGAACAATTCTACAGGCTGGTAAAGCAGGAATTTCTCACATCACAAACCTCTCTTGCAGGAAGATGTACAGGAGAACAGTTCTGCTTTCTTCTAACTGTGCTCAGCTCATGCCACTCTAATAGGATTTCCCTAAAAGTTTTGTTTTAAATAAAAACTTACTGCTATCATAAATATTAACTAGATGCTGAATGTCCCAAATCCATCACTTTGTTCAGATGATGATCCTCATCTGTTTCAGGACACCGGATACCTTTCACCACTGATAAGGGCACAGAGAAAAGCAGAAGTCTGGGGCTGTACAGGTTTAATGATGGCAAAGGCAGAATGAAATGAGACTTGTGGATTCTGGAAGTAGCTGATAACACTCCGTTCACCCAAGAATGAGAATCATAATTAACGTCTTCTGTAACACTGAATTCTTGTGTTAAACATTCCTGTACTGACCAAATTGTTGAACAGCAGCAAGGCATTCACACTGCCCAACTCAATACTGACTGTGTACCTGGAAAAAAAAGTTAATATTCATTTGAAAATAACACTGGCAGAGCCATCAGATCCATCATCTCACATGTCGTATGCAGGTCTCTTTTCACCTCCAAACAATTATCTTTGCCAACAATCGATTCTTGTGGCAGAAGAACGCCAGCCATTTGAAGAAATGCCTGCTTACTTCTGGGACAAAGAGGGCTGCAGCTGACAGAGGGATGCACGCAGCAGATGAAGCTGTTTTTTCCCTCAGAAGCAGAATTAGGCTTTGCAGGGCAATTTCATGAGGAATATGTTCACTTCGAGGCAGATCGGCTCTTGCCAGTCACGCAGCATTATCAAAAACCAACCCAAGAATGTACTGCACTAAGGCTGAAGGCAACAGGATTTATTTCCAAATGAAAATCAATTTGAGCATTACAAATTGAAATACAAACTGAGATTAAACTCTCATAAAAATCAAACCTGGTAAAACATATGCCTGCCCAATACTAGATCTAAAAACACATGCCCTTTCAAATTCAAAGCTAAAGTTTAAACTCTATTTGACAAAATGTAAAATATCCAAGGTGTACTGCCTTATTTGTGTGCTGAGAAGGCAGATTGTTCCAGCTGCACTAAAAAAAAAAAATTCCACTGGTCCCCTTTATAAGCAGTCTGAAATTAGAAGGCTGCAGCTCTGAATTACTTTACAGATGAGTTTTCTGCAAGGAGTTAAAAATGACAGATTTGACAGCTTTTATTCCACAGCACACTGGCTCTGGATCTGGTTTCTTCCCCTTTTAGCATGAGAACAGTCACTCCACTGCTCGAACTGTAACACAAAAGCAGAATGCAGTTACCAAATGAAAAGTGTTTTTAAGTAAGGCTTTTCATGGAAAGATACCATCCTATACAGTATTTCCCACTGCAGAATTCTTTCTGTTCTTTCCTTTTATCCCTTTCATTTCCTCTTCCTCATCCTGGATATATGCAGTAGAGAAACCAAAATGGTCTTGTATCATCAGACACTGAAGAGATTTTTCCTCCCTGCACTGCTGCTGTCTCGGAGCAGCGTACACAGCTACAGCAATGTTCCCTTGGCTGCCAGGCACTTGTGGCAGCTCAACAGCTGGGACCTCTCCAGGAAACTTTTTTTGCAAGACATCATAAGCATACCAGCTTTCTGTTGGCATCAAATGCCCTAAATATCTTACTCCTTGATACTACAGCAGCACAAGATGCAACAGCTTCCAAGCGCTGCAGTTTTCTCTGTGAGATCTTTCTGAGAGATGTACATTGTAAAAATCACATGTGAAACCTGTGCTCTGCCAGCTGTTCCAGTAGCAGGGTATCCTTCCCTGCGCAATGCAAGCATTCTAACTACTCTCCTGCTGCATTTATTCTAAAGACAACTTGCAGTATGTCTCCTGTCTTTGTGCATCACTAACAATAAAGAAGATAGGAGTGAAGAGAGGCTGGTGGCAATTTCAAGCTCTATCAGAAAAAAAAAAAAAACACGGGGGAGGGAGCAGAGAAAAAAGGTCTAGTTTCACTCTGAAAGCTCCTCAATGATCCAGCCATCTGTTCCACGGTTGTCCCTTTGCATAAAAGCTTAAGATTAATGTCACTAAGTTTGGATGTCTAAGCAGTGAAAAAAGTTGAACCACGCAATACCAACAGATCACGCAGCTCTTCATGTCATTAACCATCATAGTCCAGAACCTGCTGCATTTCTGAAAGGAAATTTAATTTTTCGATGCTTATTCTTTCCTGAGAAGATCATACCTCTACCCGAAATGTTGGAAGCAAATGTATTACACAACAAGGTTATTCAAAACCATTTAAGTTTGTTGTGTGGGTCTAGGTAGATGGTGACCATTGTCAAATCCATGATCATGAAAGGCTGGCATCATGCTACTCCAATGCACAGAAATAACTGTATTATGCAAAGATCCATAAAGCCAGGTCCTTCTAGCAGAGCAGAATGAAGCCATTTCTGCTACCGTCATGAACGGGGACACTATCTGTCTAACATGACCTTAGAAAGGCTCATTTTCTCTTGCAGAAGAATAGTTTCAGCATTATTCTTTAGAAGCATAACACAGTTAAACAAATAGCATTCATAACATCTCCACACTTGCCCAGGATACCAGTGAACTTGCATGCTTGCAGGTCTTTCTTTCCAACAATCATTCCAGTTCAGAAAAGACTTTAATCCTTTTCTCCTGCACTGCTAGAAAGCCGAATGTCTTTCTGAACATATTAAAATTTCCATGTATCTGTAAATTCAGACAAGGAGCTAGTTATAAGAGGTATCCAACTATCTAGCAATACAACAAAACAGGATGAAAGCCACTTTTTCATTAGTTCACCACCTCCAAATGAGTTTCTTTTTAAACAAAGGATTTCAACCACCTTCAAAGAAACAATCGTGGTACTTGAAGATTTGCTCACGGGTCTAATAAAAAAATAGTTTATGTTTGAGGATTCTTTAAAGATCCTCTGCTTTTATTTTTCATAAGGTACTTTGAGGATATTCAACATCAAATAAGCAGTGGTGTGAAATGCTGTTTCACACTGCAGTTCAGGCAAACAAGTAAAAACTGGGTATGGCATTTAAAAACACAGACATTTATGATCAACATTCTTCAAGAAAATTCTAAGAAACCCCAAGGTTTCTCACCTGTGCTTTAGATGTACAGTTGACAGTCAACTTCTGCAAACTCAAGTAACAAGCTAATGAAAATATCTTCACTGACCATGGAATGGGCATTGCTTAGACACCCCATGCTGACGCGCAAGTGATGTGCACCAAGGACTTCTTCACAGTCCAAATTACAAATCTAGTCTGTGTCCTCAGTAAAGGCCAGCAAGGCACACCAAAATAAGCAATTTGTGGGTATAGGTTAACGCTTGGCAATACTAGCATTCTCAGAAATATTTCTGTAAAATAAGTCTAGATAAAGCACATGTTATAGAAGCAGTCCTTCACTTTCTATTATAGTCTGACATACTTCAAACAGCAAATTTACACAGTGATAAAATTAAGGATAATTAAATCCAGTTCCAAGACCACAAACCATCTCTCATTCATCCTGAGCAAATTACCTAAAGCAATCTTTACTACCATGCTTCAGCCCATTTCCCAAACATACATGCTTCACATTACCTCACTTTTGCTGTCTGACACAGATCACAGCTGTTCCTCGTAAAACCAGCAGAGTTTCTTTTCTACTGCTAAACCAATCACAAATTATTTTCAATCTACAAAACTTTACATGACTGTCTCCTAAATCCATTACTGGATGTTTTTTGTGAATCAGCCGTCTGCCTTTTGGCACTGTATTTCAGAAGAATAAAGTTCCACTTTCTTTGAAGCCCCAGTTACTCACCTTTTTCAGACTGTTACCTCTCTCTATAATCAGCAGTGGTTTCCAGAAGGTAGATTAAAGCTGACTTATACAGTACCTTTCCTTTGATGGAAGAAATGGTTGCAAAGTAAAGAAATTCGTTAGGCCTCATCCATCCACACTAGAGTAAGCATTTGATATGGGATCACATGGGAACTGAGCATATTAAAAGGGGGAGGGCTGCTCAGTGATTGGTTGTGGGATAATTTTGTTTTAATAATTTCATTAATGATCTTTACACAGGAGAATGCTGAAGGGCACGAATATGAAAAATTAGCAAGAAAAAAAATCGAGATTCTCTGTGTACTACTAGACTACAGGAAGGGTCTGAGTACTACTGTGTCATGTCTATTAAAAAGGCAAACATGATCCCAGTGTGCACTAGTCCAGCATTTATATTAGAGATATGGAAGTGCCATCATGTAAGGCAGTGGGGGAGCGAATTCCATTCTCGTTGCCTGAGCTCCAAGATTTCCTCTGGTGCTAGTAAAGAGAAGGGTTGTAAGGATGATTTGGAAATGGCAATGTTCCTTTATGAGGGAAGACTAAGTGTTTGAGGCTTTTAGCCTACCAAAACAAAGGCTAAGAAGTATCAGTTTGTTCACTGAAAATACCTCAGCAAAGGAAGCATCAAAATGGAATAAAGGTATTTAAACTGCAGGAGAGTGCTGTTCGAAGAACAAATGGATATTCACTGTGAGGCTGCTATTGCAGGGGGACTAGATTCACCAGCTCGTGAGAACCCTCTCATAAAAAATATAACTAGACAGGATCAAAGGGCTTAGTACATTTGACTGCATCTGACGAAGTAACAAAAATTCAAGGCACAAAAAGAGTAAACAGGAAGAAAAAGCTTCCAGAAACACAACAAATGGAAAAAAAAAAAAAAATCAAAAACCTGTATCATGCTTCAGGGATTAAAGCTGCCATGTCCCAACAATCAGAAACAAAGAAATATCAATGTTAAGAGTGTCTGATGAACTGAATACCTATAGTCAAAGCATGAGCAAGAGGTCAAATGATAATATACAAGCAAGACAAACATTTTAGAGTGATTAAATATGCCTGGTTAACTAATTAATACTCTAGAGCGTATCCCATCTGGGAACTTCAAAGTGCTTCATAAGCCTTAATGACCTACCTCTGACGAAAAACCATGATTGCATTATGTACCATTTTACAGCTAAAGAACTTGGCACACTGATAAAGAGGGACCCAATCTACTGCCATATGGAAAGATATGCTTAATTCTAACTGAGTGGTCTCCTGTCATGCCCTTAAGTGCTCTACTAGATCATAAATGTGAGTAGCTATCCTGTGAACAACATAACAAGCATATACCAGGATACGAACGAAGAATGAGTTTTAATGACCACCATGTACCTCTATTTCCATACTGTCAACTGAAAAAACAACAGAACACAGCACTCAACATGGTTCTGTAGATAACTGTGGGCCATTCACCTCCATCACTCAGTCCACAAGTGACTCATGGATCATGATTTAGGAACCCCTGCTTTCGGACATAAAAGAATTACAAGCTATCATCAGAACGTGCTATTGACACAAACAATAAAATTGGGCCATTCCAGTAAGGATGACTTCTTTGAGCTTGCTCCTAACCTGGCTACACAGAGCTAGATTTTCAAGGGAGCACTAATTTAAATACCTACAGTATAGCAGCAGGCTCTTCAGAAACCCTCAGCACACAGAAACTCCTTGTATTTCAAAGCAGGTAGTACTTGGGTATCAACGCGCTTGAAATTCCAGCATGTCCAGTTCAGTGCCTACCCAAGTACCCTCAGTACTGAATTCACGTGCAAAATCAGATCCATAATGTCAGATGTATCTATTCCTATAGCAAAATGAATTTTTTTCACTTTCAGTGCATAGGTATGCTACTAAGAGTGAATCTGGGAAAATGATAATGAATGGTTTTAATGACTATAACCGAGACCTCTGGCCCTGCTTCCCCCCCTCCCCGGGGAAAATTTTGGTATGTCACCACTGCATCAGGATTCTCAAATGTGATAAACTCTGTCATGGTATTGTTGTTAAGTTTTTTATGATGCCATTAAAGTACTATGGAAGTGAATCAGCTACAGAAACCTGGCGATGAGCTCTCATACAGGCTTATAAATCCCAATTCATTGTTTCAAAATTAAAAGACCTAGTATTAACTATGCATACAATTACATTGCTCGCACCTCCTAGCACGTCAAGAGTGACACACTAGATTGTTATTACAGGTATATTTCTTCATTTCTAGCTACCTGACTGAAGATGAAGACTCAAAGAGAGTAATGTGAGCCCCCTTAAAAGGAAAAATAAGATCATTTGTATTTTAACCAATGCAAAGAAAGAAGAGTTTCTGAGAAAATTAAGTAGCTAAGTATATCATTACCAGGAATGTCAAGTTTGCTGCTAAAACTCAGAGAAAGATCATTCTGAAATACTTCTGAAAGATGCTTAAAAGACATCCTAAATAAAGTAAGTTATACTTTCCTCTGCCTTTAACTAATAACTTGCTGAACCATGTGTTTCTAAGCAAGCTTCATCATAGTCTCACAAGTTACTTTGGTCAGCACCTATCAATGGCTAATGGGCATGGCAAAACAATCTGACCAAGAGAGTAAGAAGCAAGCAAGGGCTAAGGGATGCCCAGCATTAAACTACTAAACTCAGTGGCAGCAAAGTCAGACATTGGATATTTTCAAGCCAACAAGACAAAGCAACAAGAGGCAGCTAGATGACCACATTTATTAGAAATGAGTAGCAAGATTCATTAAAAACAAGTAAGCTAGACTCCTAAAGCCTGTATTCAGTTACTTGGAGAGAAGACGTAATTTTCAAATGGGATTCCTGAACATCCTGTACTGATTTAAAATAAACACACTTCAAGGTTAACACAAGAAGCACAAGGCATACAGAAGAAAAAGCAACAACTATCATAAAAACTAACGCTGTATTTAACCAATATAACCCTTCTTCTTGCCTTTTGCCTTAAATAAAATATATTTAGGTATATTTACCTTTGCTCCATGTTTATGCAGAACTTCCATGACATCATTATGAGCTTTTTCAGCTGCAACATGCAAAGGTGTCATGAAACTAGGGGGTGGGGTGGAAAAAAAAAAGGAAGATATTAGTTTTACATTCCTAGTATGACAGAGTCCTTTGGAAAATTCAAAAATTTCAGAAACCTACTCTTTGTTTTTCTCATTAACATTTGCTCCTTTCCTGAGCAATAGTTCTGTAACTTGCTTCCGCTTGGGATGCACAGCGGCCACAGCACAGTGCTGCAAAAAAGTAAATATAAATTAGACTTCAACTACACAGATGACAAAGAGCTTTAAGATCCATGACTTCATCTCGATTATTCTGCTGAACATCAGACTACAAAATTTACAAACAGAATCCATCATATTTCAGCTGAAACATATAACATACTGAACAAAATACAAGCTAGTAATCAATGCTAAATTATTCTATTCAGAAAAAGTTTTCATTTTAAAGCTATTTGTCACTTAGGAAAAAAGCGTTATGTTCCCAACTACATTAACAAGATATCAGGACAAAACCAGCCCATAATGTGCAAAGGCGGTAAAGACAAAGGGCCTGAAACAGCCTAACTTTCTACAGAGGGACTCCAAAGGGTTCCATTAGGATTCCGCTGCGCTTGTCAGATGAACGTGACTTCAATGTTGCCTTGTTTCTTCTTCTATTTCAGCGTGTACCGAACTTGTTAACCTAACGGCAATTCTGTTATACGCCCAGTTACAAATTATGTAATGAACAAAGTATCATCTTTTCCACACTGTGAGAAAGAGACATCTCTCACACAGTGCTTTTCAGTGCTCAAGCCTGCCCTCGTGGGAACACCATACAGCCCTTTGCTAGGTGTAACTATTCCCCTGAATGTGGCTGGGGTCAGCTTGTTGGTTTGCCGGTGCATTTGGCACTCAGAAGTGAGTGCTGGGTTCCCCCTTTCTTCTTTCATCCTCTGCAGAGACTAGAATCAATCTTTCCTGACATTGTCAACTGTGGCCCTGCCAATGCATTCCTGAGGCCTGAAATTACAAGCGTGGTTCCACATGAGCTGAACACCATGCTTTAAAACCAGTCCAGAAATGCTTGTCTCAAGTTTGGATGTCTCAAGATAGCAGACTATGAGAAATAGGAGATACTTTTGAATATTTTTGTTTTTACATTTACCCATGTTTTATATATATAGTATCATAACTATAATGGTTTTAATAACACCATCAGTCCCTCTCAATTTCAACATCTTCACTGCATCTGGGATACTGGCTGTGTTCCTTGCCTCTACTGCTTCTTCAAACAATGAAGTAAGAGCAGGATACTGCCAGGGAAGTCTCAAAGACCCCTGTTTCCAGAGATAATGTGGTATTGTCAGTACTATTCCAATCCTGTAAGACCCTGTGATATACACCTAGCATCTATTTTCACCACAATTTTACATACCCTATGAAGAAAATTTGTAATCTGAGTTTGCCCACATAAAACATTAAGGAAGCTCTGGGCCACTGGAATAGAATTTAACCCCAGAAAAAACACAGCAACTGACCAGCAAAAGAAGAGCATGATGGGAAAAAAGCAAAAGAGAAGTGAAAAATGAACAGGTGACGAGTGGCTGGAGGGCTTCTGTAATCTACCAGGAAGAAGAAAAAAGTGATAAAAAATTATAATAAATTATTAAAAATAATTTAATATATTTCCTATATTAAAATTAAATCACCGTTAAAGTGTTTGATGGCAAATCCTCAATCTCAGATGATGAATATATTTTTGTAGTGTAGAAATAAAACGCCTCAACTAGCACTGCCACCACATTTATCATAAAACAAATGGATTGACTGTATAATCTCACCAATGCAGTCTCATGCGACTGTGGCTGCTTAAAATTGATGATCTCCAAAGCAAGTGTCTTTTTCACTTTGGCTAGGTCTGCCTCTCTGGCTGCTTGCAGTAAAGAGTGTCCTTTGAATTCATCTGTTAGAGGAAAAAGATGCATTTAATATTCAGCAACATGTCATATTTATAAATGTTGTTGGAGAAAGGTAGTTATACTCAATTAAGAGGAAATAAGAGTATTTCTGTACATCTTCAGATAGTAGCTGACCTGGGACACGGAACATGAAACATGGTTTACTGAAACCCAAGGGACATTCTAAAGGAGAGGGGAAGTGATTCCTTGAGTAAAATCCTTAGAGCTGTTCTCCCTCTTAACCTCCACCCACTTGATATTAAATGCATGTGACCTCTGAATTACCTACGTTTGTGTTCAAGTGAGCACAGTGCTATTACATGCTCTTCAAAAAAAGCATTACAGTTGCTTTTCAAAAACCTTATTGTATTTACAACTACAAATAATATAAGGTAAAGCCTGAATAAATATACATTATTTATATAAAATAATATATGTATAATTTAAACATAAAATATTAAACTATTGGTCTTAAAGAAAGCTAACCAGCTAAGCATTTGAAGCCAGTCTGCTACAAAGATGAAACAGGTTTTGATAGCAGCTATATCTTTGCAAGTATGGAGAGGTAATTTTGTTATTTTCAGTGTCACATCTTGTTCATTTCAGCAACTAGTTCATTTTAGTTTTAAATCATTTTGAATTTGAAAAGGACTAAAAGTATTTCTCTTAAAATGTACAGATGAAACATAGGTTAGCAAGAATGACATCGGAACCTGGGAACTAGAAAAAAAAAAACTCAATCTCAGTAAAAATATCAGTATTTTTCTTTCATAAGCAAGTGTGAATGCTAAGCTTGTTAAGAGGGGCTTTCTTCTCTCACCCTTGTTTAATATCCGGTGCATTTATGGATTTAGAAATAAAAATAAATATTATAACTTTTAAGTTTTCGAAGAAATTTGAATTCTATTTTAAATGAAAACAAAGCATTACTCAAAGCACAAGTACAAATAAATCTTGTAATAATAAATAAATGCAATATTATTACTAAAGTATAAAACCAAAGAACTCAAGGATATGATAAACATGTTATTTTGGGTATGCAAATACAGGATGTCCATCAAGATACTGTCAAATTTGGCATAACGCTCACATTTGTGTACACATTTCAGTGGATATTAATGGACATGAACCTTTCCCCACTCCTCTCCAGGAACTATAAATACAGAAATAAAACAAAGTTTAAACAGATTTTTTTTTTTTTGCTTGCTAATTTAAACAAATGGTAAATTAACCTGCCTCAAAGCCAGAAGCATCTCTCAAGTTAGCCCAGAATATAAAGTAGAGAAGTAGCTAATGCTTTGCTCTCCTAGAGCAAAGTTTGCTGCTGCACATGATCTCACCACCTTCACATGCAAAGAATAGTGACAGATGACAACATGACTAGCTGTGACTGTGAGTCACAGGATCACATTCTTGGTATGTTGGGGGCTTCTGCTATACTGGAAAGGTGACAGACAAAACCAAAAGCTTATTTATAATTGAGTTCAGAATCTAATTCTCAAGAAGGAGTTTTCTGTAACTTCATAATGCTTTCTTTCCATACTTGTCTCATTTCATTATCTTTTACAGTTTATAACAATGAGAAAACAAATCCCCAAAAGAGGGCAAACAAAGGCAGACAAATTCAAATTAGGGCTCAAATACTGTTTTGTAAACAGCATAAGGATTGCAAAGACTACAAAAGAAGGTGCTGGAATTTCCATCTCCAAGTTTGCACACCGAAGCTACCTACACCTTCTGGAAGTTACTCTTTAAGTGTGATACAGAGCCTTGATATAGAGGTTCCCATGTGACTTAACTGGACTTTAAGCATAAAAAACCCCACGGTCACTGATTCAGCAGCGCCTTAAACGTTTTAAACCTAAGAAAACCAGGCAATATGATGAACAGTATATTAGAGGTGTCTGCGTACTTCAAAGGGAGAGGCACAGCTGCCGTTACTCTGCTGCTTTGCATCTACTTGTGAAGTATGAGGAAGCTAGCTTGAAAGGAAAGCACCCCTTTACACCCACCGATAACTGTTTCCAGTTTCAAAACACTTACAGGTCAGTCTCTCCCTTAGCTCAGGCGTTGGAGCCATATCGACCGCACTCTTGCCGTGGCAGTTGACTAGCGTGGGATCTGCGCCGTGACTCAGCAGGAGGGAGCAGACCTCTACACGGTTCTTGGAAGCAGCCTCGTGCAAAGGGGTAAATTGCCAGAGGTCCATAGCATTCACACAGGCGCCATGCTAGCACAGCAAAGAAAGCATTATATTAGTAAGAAATCATCTTCAACAACTAAAAGCTTACAGATTTTCATTTCATTATAAAAACTGGTTCCATTCTTTCATATATAAACACATACACAAAAAATTAATTATAAAAATACCTGTATATACAAAAATACTGCTGAATCCTCAAAAAAAAAAAGGAATTTCTGTATGAGGTAGTTTCAGTAGAACAGATTTTTCCCCAGAAAAATTCAAATCAATGAAACTCTACTATCTGTCCAAAGAAATTAGGTGGGGGAAAAAAACCACATACACTGTACCACAGAAAGACCTAAAGTTGCAGGCTTCTGAAGTCACATACAGGATTGTTTGAAACCTGTTACTATAGGAAAAAAAAAAAATCTTCCTTTTCAACTCTGGTATAAACAGTTCACCCTCACCTAACACACCTAGATCTACAGTAATTACTTTCCATCCTTCTGCTTACCTTAAGCAGCAGCTCTGTAACCTCATAGTGTCCATATGAACATGCATTATGAAGAGGCACAAGACCACTGTATGGAAGAAGGCAAATAAATTTATTTAAGCAGCATTTTTAAAAAAGGAGGAACAAGTTCTCTCTACTGAGAGATGAACAGAAATAAAATTAAATCTAAAATATTTAAATATTCAAATATTTAAAAATTAAGGTTCACAAACCAATGGAAAAATCTAACCATCCCAAACAACATGTTACTTAATATTGGCATTAAAATAGTTTTTTTTTTGTCCTAACAGGCCACAGATGTTTAATCTTCCACTAACATTAGCATTAATTGGCTTTGAAATTATCTTTCTTGAAGCTATTAAGGGGGGGGGGGGAAGTCCCATTCCACATTCAATTTGCACAAGAGAAGTCAGTGTTCTGTTTCCGCCTAAATATGAACTCCTGTTTATTTAAAATGCTATTTTGGCATTGGTGAAAGGCAAAACTCCCCAGATAATGCTAACATAACTCCTGGGTATATTATGAAGATGTACAAATACCCACAGAAAGCAGACTAAAATTGCTGCTCCAGACTGTGGAACGACCTCATTTTACTCCTTTTTTTGCAGTACAACCTATTTAACTGTGCAAGATACTTCTAAGAGAGTCCCTGTGATTTTTGTACAGCTATATTACTGGAGGCCATACTTAAAAATGACACTAGCAAAGTAAATAACAGGGATCTAATCATAAGCACAAGACGTAATAAAAAAAGTCATGCATTGAAATGGAGATGCAAAGGGGACAATTATTACAGAGGACAAAATAAGTTTAATTCAAGCCAAGCAAGACAGGCTAGTTATGGCTCAACAAATTGGGATCCATAATACACTGAAAACAATAATTAACCCTTCACCATTTACGAAAAATACAGGGCATGATTCCCAGAATTGCAAAATCAACTCAAGCAACATTAGGACAGCAAATACTAGACAACAGGGTAAACTTAATTTTAAGGTAGATGCTCTCAGAAGCAGCATTGCACTTGTCACAGGAGAGGGAAATCTGTTTTGGGGAAATTTTTCAAACTTATTTTCCATCGTTACTTTTCTTAATTACAACTTATGGCTGTATGTGTGAGACAGAAAGAGAGTATCCAGTCCACAGAGCACTCAAAAAAAACCCTGCCCTCTTCCAAAATGATGGTCATCTAAGAGGATTGAGGCCTTCAAGGTCTCATCAGCAAAGACAGTCAGCGCAGCAATCCGCCTGGCCACTTCTGCAGCATGCCCTTCCCTTTTCTCTTCCAGCAAATTGTGACTTTGTGCACAACAGCAGTAAGGCAAAGAAAGACCACTGGAAAAAGAGCTGCTTCCTTGGCTGTGGTCCTCTTCGGGAGTAACTAGAAGTGACGACCATTTTGAAGATGCGGCACAGTTCCTCAGGACTCTCTCTGAAGTGACCCCATTGAAGAGAATCTAACAGGTCTATAAAATCAATGTAACCTAATTTAGCTCCATAAATAATGACATTTATTTATAGCCTATTTACTTATAAATTATGTATAAATAAGAAACAGCAAGGAAAAACAAAACACCACACTGATTGTAAATGTGTGATGCTGCTAAAAAAAGTGGGATGTCAGACATTTCTAAGTATGTTTGGGTTGTTTTTAAGCTTAAGACAAAGTAAGTGTATCGTTTTTCCTTTCTTTCTACCCCCCCCCCCCCCCCCCCCCGACTAACTTTTTTTTTTTTTTCTCCTGTAGATCATTCAAATCTCATTAAAGCATCTACGCTGGAATTTTCTACCAAGTGATGCTGATATTTCAGAAAGGTGTGAAATACCTAAAACTTGCTTAACAATGCTGGATCTACCTGAATAGGTATTACATGCAGCTTTACTGTGGTTTGTTTTCTTTTTTACTTACATAATGTGTCATCATGCATTTCACAACAATCCTGATCAAAAAAGCCATTAGGTGCGAATGTACAGACAAAAGTGCTACAATTAGTCAGTTTTCAAGAGTTTAAGTATGCTTGGGACTGGTTTTGGAAAGAAAAGAAAAAAACAGAAAAAAGCTAAGATCTTAATTTAAAATCTCTTTTAACACTAGGCTGGACTCAGCAGAATATGAAGATACAGGAAGTGCCTCAAGTTTGCTGATGGAGACAGAACGCACACACACATTAATATCCTACCTCTATGGACTCTGAATACAAAATGCATGCCTTTAACCAGGGGCCCAATTTCTACAACGTTAGGACTTAAACCTTCCTATCAGACCATCATGAGAATCATCACCTTAGAGTTCAGAAATGTATGGCTGAGAACAACGTACAACACATATCGTTCCAGATTTCTGACTGCTGCACACTTTTTGTTGGTATCTTATGTAACTACCATCCTTACTGCAAAAATAGAATAGTTTAGCTTCTACTGTATCTTGATTTTTGCTGGCAACATCAATCAAGACAGATCTCCAAGGACCGCTAGTTGTGAGCACATGAGTGTTATTGATATTACTTGGAATTACATCCATATATACGCAACAAAATAATGAGACTATAGATAAATTTTTCAATGCACATTTTTTCACTAAGCCCATGTATCTTTTCCCCATCACCTTCCCTAAAATAATGCAATTAGTCCATGATTTCACAGGGTAGTCTGTGCATGGAAGAAAAAGAATAAGGTTTGGAAAAAAACTTAAAGGTATAATAGAAGACTTAAAACAGGTGCAATCACAGCTAATCTGTTATTGGGGCTCTAACAAAAGTTTATTTATGATGAACCACACCCAGATTTTGGAAGCAAATGTCGCATTCTCAGCCAACTATTTGAGATTATGCTGCAATGTGAAACAGATAAATAATTCTTCATCTTGATTAATACAAAACCACTGCTGCGAACAGATAATAAATCAATTCATTTTACATACCCTTTGTCCTTTGCGTGCACATCTGCACCATGCTGAAGCAGAAGTTGGACTATTCGAACTCTGTTGTAGCCTGCTGCTAGGTGTAAAGGAGTGGACTGCAAAGTAAAACAAAACAAGATGAAGAATGGGAGCCACATGAATTTGAAGTCCTGCACTTCCTGCCATTTAAGTGCTCTTCATTTCTCTTACACATTGGATCAAGATAAGTTACACTTCCCTTCTGTGATTAGCCAAATTAACAAATACACAACACATGCATGCCCTTCCTGTTGTCAAACCAACCAAGTGTTCCTTAAGATGGGGAAGAATCCAGATATCTCCTAAGGCAATAACAAGCTCATCATTTAAAGTTAATTTAAATTAATGGCCCAACTTTGTTTTGTTTGGTGGGTTTTTTTTGTTTGGTTGGCTTGGGTTTTTTCTTTTTTTTTAAATGCTATGATTAATTTTTAAAAGGCTAGATTTTTTTTTCATTCATGAGCAAATTTATGCAGATCAGGCTGCATACTCACAGGTTTCAAAACTTGTTGCAACAAGCGCACAAAAGGCAGACTGCAGAAGAAGAAATAATGCATTTATCCCATAGTAGGAACATTTATCTTCAGCTGTGCACCAAACAAGTAGCCATATGTGTTCTGTACTGTGCTGTGGTAAGACATACGGCGCAAACTGTATGCAGTTTGCAGTTTCTTGCAAAATACACCACCTCAGCAGTAATGCACCTTGCTGCATAATAATAGAGTAAATAACATTTTTCTCCATAGCTAATTCGTAAAAATTTAATTGAAAGCTTTTGAAGTTGACAACAGTAATTCTGCTCGAAGTTTATTTTAAAAGTTTTTTATTATGAAACAAATTTTGTGTGCTGTCTCAGTCTGAAGGAACTGATTTCTTACACAAATGGGTGATGCTGTTTCCTCCTTCCCAAGGCTGAGAAGCAGAGGATTTTAAAGGGATCTTTGTTGCAATGTGTTTTGTGGCACGCAACCAAACAACACAATTTTATTACAGTAAAACCCCATACATAAACCAGCTTGAACACACGGGAAGACTTACATATCTCACTGTATTAAGCCAAGTACAGATTTACTGTCAGCATTAAAACATCATTATACAGTATTACAGGTGAGGCATCACATTTCACTATTATCAGGATTTAAAAAAACAAAAAATCAAGACAAATGGTCTCATCTATGGTAAACAGCAGCAGGTGCTATATATATCCATAAACAGTATGGATTTCCAGGAATTAATACATATTTAATATGACCATAACTTGGAGTAGTCTATTATATTTTACTATAGTCTCAACACTTTGCTACGTTGCTCCAGAAAGGGTAAGTACTTTGACACTTACCAAGCGTCCTGTGTACCACAGTGAGGACACAGCTTGTACTGTCAGAAACGACAGCACAGGGCATCTCTAAAAAAAACACCTGGGTAACTCAGTTTTTTTGGTGAAGCAGTTATGCAAGTTTCCCTAAGACCCATCTTTGGAATTATCTATACTCAAAATAAGGAACTCTAACATTCCCAACCTGAAGATCCCTAAAGTGTCTCCAAAGTACAAAATGCCAACAACAACAAAACAGGTCAAATCGTTTAAGTGTTTGGACATTCAAATTGTTAGGATCTATTATTCTGTTCCAGAAAGGCTTCTACTACTGAATTAACAATTTGGACTGGTCCAGAAGGTATTATATTCTTTTCACATCTGCCCCTATTATAAAATAGCTGGCTTCTGCATATCATAAACACTAATGAAAATGTGGATAAAGATTACGCCGCTATTGACATTAGCAGAATACTTCAGTACTGTTTATTCTGACAATTGCCTTGGTTTCGTTACTAAATCCAGTTTTACCAACTGAATTAACAATTTCAGAAAACCTGCAAGGAATTTGAAATAGACTGCGGAAAAGTCAGTCTATTGAAATGTCTAAACTCCAGAAGAAATTGGAGCAAACACTAAATCTTTGGACCACTGCAAGATCCTTTAACCTCACTACAATTAAACTACATCCATTCTTGTCTGCATGCTACTTCTAAAACAACGATGGCAGACTTCCAAGATGATGCTTTACTCATATTAAGCATTATTAATAGGGATGTTCTCAAAGATACATCAACCCTGGAGTCTTGTTCACTGCTTAAAATTGAAACTATTATGACTCAAGCTGGGACTGTGCATTTTGCATTTCTAGGGCTATTAGACCTGCGTTTGCCAAACAACTTCATTAGAGAAGAAACCCAAAACATTTCAAGCTTATAGCTGCAAGACAAATGATGTAAGTGAAGCAAAACAGTGACATCCCAGATCTTCAGACGACTGATATCCCTGCCTTTCAGAAAGGTGAGCTACTTCCTTCTCCTCGAGCAAGGCCACGCAGACACCACAGTCCCATGAACGAACACAGAACACCATGTCTTCCCCAACACTCCAGGAATTAGTTATTTAGCTGCAGCCAGGCGCCTGACGTTTGGTGTGCCTGCCTTCAGCGAAGCTGCGTGCCGTGCTGCGGCTGCCTCTCCAAGGAGGCGCTAACTGATGCTCCCTGCACCCATCCCTGGAGACGGGGCTTGAGATCTCTGCCAGTCTTCATGCTTCGACTCTACAATCGCAAACCGTATAACCTGGAGGATGACACAGTGCTGGAGACACAGGCAGTTAGAGGGTCAGAGAGACCACTTGACGGAGGGGCACGGACAACTAAACACCCAGGAAGTGCAGAAGAAGCGATCCTGGAGGGCTGCTCCCCCCGTATCCAGGCCTGGTGTATCAGAACCCACAAGCCAGCATTACCAGTTCCTCTTTAGGTTGGCTAAAAGGCTCTTATACGTGCTGCACTTACATACGCTTCAGGAAGGAGGAAGCAGAAAGGCCCTGCTTTGATGCTTTTTTAAGGACTTATCTTCCTTTCTCATGAGAAAGGGCATTCATTAATTTTACAGATTCAATAGTTAAAAATACTAATCTGACATTACAAGCTTGTATGCTAATTACAGAAACTAAGTACCTAAAAGATAATGTCATGCTACAGGAAATACTCATTATACAGGATTATTAGCCCTCAAAAAAAAAAATCAAGTGAACGATGGTAGTAAAGAGACTGATGTCTAAAATTAACATGGTGTTTATATAGCACTAGAAAAGCAGAAACTAGCACAAACAGCAGTATTGTATACTGCACCTGCAAGGTATATCAAACTAATCACTTCATATTAAGAGATTAAATTGAGCTATCAATTAACCCCTCCTCCCATGTCTTGCAATACCTGGCAAGAGACTTACTAACAAGAATCCCTAGAGGGCACTTACCTTCCAAGACTCACATTCACAGTTACCAAGCCAATCACACTGTCTTACTTGCTAGTGTAATTAAAAAGAGTACAACTCCACTGTTATTAAGTAAAGTAGACCCTCATGTGAGATGCTCACATTAAAGTTTTACGACAGCTGTAATTGAGTCAAAGCAGGTACTGTGCATTTCAAGGAAGATCACTGTACACAAGATGGCAATCACTGTCAACCTGTATACCTACAATTTATACTAAAGCAGTTTTTTTTGCCTGCAGTCTTTTTGAAAGTGTGTTGCCTGGGAATATGAGAAATGCAGTTTTTAGGTTTTAAAAAAAACGTACATGCAGCAGTTTGATACTATTTTCATTGAGTCAGGTATTTTCAGACTGCTTTGTTACCAACAGCTGATTTGATGATCCCCTGTTAAAGGTCAGCCACTTTGAACTTGCTGTCCCCTGTTCATCTGCATCAAACGAGAGGGACACGGAGGAATTGCCAGAGCTGCAGGCTGCTGAGCTGCTTCTACTGAAATTGGAAAATTGGTTTCAACAAATTGTCCACAGGCAACATGGGAATGCTGGCTCCAGGCACCATTTGTTTCCCTTCCTATCTTGCTAAAGAGCCTTAGATGGTAACGCTGCCACAGCCTCAGAAGAAAGCTGCATTTTCAGATTCAAACCATGGATTGCCCATTTTACGGACAACTTTAAACTGAGGGATGTTATGTAAGGATTATATCTCATGCATTATCTGCATGATCACTAACAGCTGCAGGAAGTGTTTTAAGAACTAATATTGCCTGTTCTTGCTTTCTGCTACCAAAATCTCTATATAATGCTACCAGATAACAATCTTAATCAATGTGTTTCTCTCATTCTCAAGTTGTCATCCCAAAGGCTATTAAAATCAACAAACAACAATCTTATCACATGTATGATGTCTCATCATACATCTAATTTACAACATTATACAGTGATTTAGAGTTATCATCATTTACTTTCATCTTCTATGGGAAGGGCATTCTCACAATAAAGAGGCAACACCCTGATTTTGAGAGCCAGCTCTGGCCTTGACGTACTATGGCTACTCTCATGTTCAGGAGGTCCCCACACAGATACGCACCAGTAAGGGTGGCTCTTACACAGATAGACAAACAAGTATGACTTGACAGAAAATACCTAAGGACACTCATTATGTTTCTTTTTAACTCTTCTACAACACTCTGCTGACAAAGGATGTCAAAAAAAAAAAAGGAGGGGGGAGTAGGGATTTTAAAATGTTTCATGTACACTTTAATATATGTGACTTTTTTACCTTGTCTATAATTATCTTCAGGTTTGGTAGATTTGGAAATTGCGGGTATGCACACTCCCATCTAACTTTCATCAAACAAAACCTTTATTCTAATCAGACCATACTGCCTGTAGAGAGCACTACCAATAAAAATAATATCTTAAACTTCTGTAGTTTGTCTTACAAGCTCTCTTCAAAACAGTGTTTCACCTCCGCTGAATTAAGGGAAGAGCAGAGAGGTTTCTAATCACAGAAGGGACCTTCATTTCAGTTTTGCATAAAACTGACTGTTTTGAAAGATGTCCTGAATTCTGGTAAGATGACTATTTAAATCTGGCGTACTAAGGAAAAAACACTGAGCAGGCAAACAAGTCTCTCTTCACTGGGTTAGAATTTATGATAGAACCTTTCTTTCCAATCGCAATAGTCTCTGTTTGCTTGATGCTGGCCTCTTACAGATTTCTCTAAAGTGAACTACATCAATCATGAGTGTACATTGGG